CCACTGCTAAGATCTGAGTGACTGAGATGTCGAACTACCACTGCTAAGATCTGAGTGACTGAGATGTCGAACTACCACTGCTAAGATCTGAGTGACTGAGATGTCGAACTACCACTGCTAGAGATCTGAGTGACTGAGATGTCGAACTACCACTGCTAAGATCTGAGTGACTGAGATGTCGAACTACCACTGCTAAGATCTGAGTGACTGAGATGTCGAACTACCACTGCTAAGATCTGAGTGACTGAGATGTCGAACTACCACTGCTAAGATCTGAGTGACTGAGATGTCGAACTACCACTGCTAAATGACTGAGAGATCTGAGTGACTGAGATGTCGAACTACCACTGCTAAGATCTGAGTGACTGAGATGTCGAACTACCACTGCTAAGATCTGAGTGACTGAGATGTCGAACTACCACTGCTAAGATCTGAGTGACTGAGATGTCGAACTACCACTGCTAAGATCTGAGTGACTGAGATGTCGAACTACCACTGATCTGAGTGACTGAAGATCTGAGTGACTGAGATGTCGAACTACCACTGCTAAGATCTGAGTGACTGAGATGTCGAGTGACTGAACTAACTACCACTGCTAAGATCTGAGTGACTGAGATGTGTCGAACTACCACTGCTAAGATCTGAGTGACTGAGATGTCGAACTACCACTGCTAAGATCTGAGTGACTGAGATGTCGAACTACCACTGCTAAGATCTGAGTGACTGAGATGTCGAACTACCACTGCTAAGATCTGAGTGACTGAGATGTCGAACTACCACTGCTAAGATCTGAGTGACTAAGAACTACCACTGAGATCTGAGTGACTGAGATGTCGAACTACCACTGCTAAGATCTGAGTGACTGAGATGTCGAACTACCACTGCTAAGATCTGAGTGACTGAGATGTCGAACTACCACTGCTAAGATCTGAGTGACTGAGATGTCCAACTACCACTGCTAAGATCTGAGTGACTGAGATGTCCAACTACCACTGCTAAGATCTGAGTGACTGAGATCTGAGTCGAACTACCACTGCTAAGATCTGAGTGACTGAGATGTCCAACTACCACTGCTCAGATCTGAGTGACTGAGATGTCGAACTACCACTGCTCAGATCTGAGTGACTGAGATGTCGAACTAACTATCTGAGTGACTGAGATGTCGAACTACCACTGCTCAGAGATCTGAGTGACTGAGATGTCCAAACTACCACTGCTAAGATCTGAGTGACTGAGATGTCGCTCAACTACCACTGCTCAGATCTGAGTGACTGAGATGTCGAACTCAGACCACTGCTCACTGCTCAGATCTGAGTGACTGAGATGTCCAACTACCACTGCTGCTGAGTGATCTGAGTGACTGAGATGAGTCGAACTACCACTGCTAAGATCTGAGTGACTGAGATGTCGAACTACCACTGCTAAGATCTGAGTGACTGAGATGTCGAACTACCACTGCTAAGATCTGAGTGACTGAGATGTCGAACTACCACTGCTAAGATCTGAGTGACTGAGATGTCGAACTACCACTCAGATCTGAGTGACTGAACTACCACTGCTCAGATCTGAGTGACTGAGATGTGGAACTACCACTGCTAAGATCTGAGTGACTGAGATGTCGAACTACCACTGCTAAGATCTGAGTGACTGAGATGTCGAACTACCACTGCTAAGATCTGAGTGACTGAGATGTCGAACTACCACTGCTAAGATCTGAGTGACTGAGATGTGGAACTACCACTGCTAAGATCTGAGTGACTGAGATGTCTGTGCTTTCATCAATTATTATAGAACACTTTTGTTTTTGACAGATCTCAGTCACTGCCTGCTTTTCATGAAAAGCTATTCCATCTTGAATGACATAAGACAGTTGTATTCTTTTCATGGATAACTTTTCAGCAATTTTACTGTCGGGAAATGCCACTTTGCAGACGCTTAGGAGATGGTCAATATTAGCGAATGGAACATTGTGCTCAGCGAAATACGCAGCAAACATGACCTCACTCTTTGCTATCTGTTCACTTTCTGTAGATGTTTCTTTTTTTAAAAATCGAGTTATATTTACACTTTCTTTAGCAGACTCAAAATTTCGTACATGTTTCACAGAATCTTTATGCTTTGTTAGCATGGATTTATTTGCATTTTTCAATGTCACTTTACAACATTTGCAGTAACTTGAGTCCTTATCGTTACTGTCCTGTTGTAGCCAATCTTTAAATTCCGCTTCAGTAAGCCATTCCTCTTTGAAACACTGAGCATACCATTTTCTTTTCTTTGATGGTGTAATCTGTTCACTCATTTTGAATTCAACAAGGTTATAATCAGAATAAATTTTGATAGCACAGTTTAACAAACCACAACACAGCAAAAAACCAAGTGAAAACTGAACTGAAAGTCCCTCCGGCCCTCCCTAGTAGTCCTTAGTTGGTTTCTGCTAATCTGCTTTCTTTCAATTCAACCAATGAGACACTACAATGTCAGGTTAGTAACCCCTAGAAGATAGGAAAAGCCTTCCAAACTTTCTTCAATAATTAAATGTCAGGTCCCTTCTTTCTTCTGTAAAGTTTACGATCAAAAGTCCCAGGCTTCATCTATTTTGCATCTCCGCCCCTAGTATCTGTTACTTTAGGGCCACCACTTGGGGATCGTAAATCTGGTCCTTTGGTGGTCTGCTAAATCTTTCCTGGATTGCCCTGGAGTTAACCTTTGTATTATGTTACATTAATTACACTGAGTTTATTTTAAGTGTTTGTAGGACATTCCAAAATATAATTTGCGGGTAAAACTATTATAGATATCCGTACACACATTATTCTTGTTAAAATATTTATTAATTGTAGTTTTTTTCCCCATTAAGACTGAAAACCCAAGATTTGCAATAATTTTCAAAATAAAAACCAAGAAACCCAGACGGCAACTAAAAAAAACCAAGATCTTGGGGAAAAAACCCAGCATTGGCATCCCTGAATATCTGCAGCGTTAACCTGCCAGGGTTTTCCAGCCACGGTGACTAACTTAATTCCTGTTTGAAAATGTATGTAACCAATGGTTGATTACTTTAGCTTTCCATTTTTGCTTTGTTTAGTGTGTCCAACTATTTCTACTTGTTTCTTGAGTGTCAATGCCAATCAATAAGTGTTAATTTATATAACAGTTTTTCCCCTCTTTTTGAGGTGTTCCCCAGTTATTTTTAATATTCAAAACCGCCCTTCCGGTGAGTTAAAATTGACAATGACTAAAGATTGCGCAACAATGTCATCATCATCGTCATGATAAGATATAAAACCGAACGAAAAGTAAATCAGCGAGCTTCCCGATATAACAAACACAAATAAAACGTGAACGCTGTTGCTTTGGAGCCTTCTTTAGCACATACATAGAATAGAAAATACTACACAAATACACAATATTACTTATCTTCGTGTCTTGTGGCAGCCAGGTCGATGTCGACATGATAAAAGTCCGGGTGTTGGGTCTATTTTTGGGACATAAGAAAAATAAAGAGGAAAAGGGGGAGGGGGCGGGGTTGTTAGACGCGCTGATACTTGCAAGTTGCTTGCATTGAGAATCATCATCACAGCACTCGTGACATTCAATTAAGGGCTACATCCTAATCTGTGGCAGTCAGCATAGGCGCGGGACCCTGGGTGGGTGCTCAGGTCCCAAGCTTTAAAACGCCAGTTCCATTTTGATTATTATAAGTTCGCCTATTAGGAGCTCGAAATTACCAGACCCGTGCAAAAAAGGCACAGTCTCAAACATAATATTGAAAGAGGGGGCTAGGCCTAAATAGGATAGGGCTTAATCCTAGTTTTAGAGCACGAAAAACTGCTAAACAGTAAATAAATAAAATATTTTTTAACATATTGTAACAAATACTGTTAACATAACAAGCGGTAATTTCTAAATTTGTGCATTGGAGGTGGGGGGGGGGGGGGGGGCTAAGATCTCTTGAGCTTAAGAGGTCTTAGCCCGCAAGCTACTATGCCATGCACCACAATTACATTGTTCCCACCCCCATGCAGCTCAGTTAATAAATTCTTCCTCAAGATGTTGGAACCATAAACAGTCGGTGACTTTGTTACTGGCAGCAGCAGTAGCGGTAATGCAGCAGCAACAACATCAGCAGCAGCAGTGGTAGAAGTAGTAGTAGTAGTAGCAGCAGCAGTAGTAGTAGTAGTAGTAGTAGTAGTAGTAGTAGTAGTAGTAGTAGTAGTAGTAGTAGTAGTAGTAGTAGTAGTAGTAGTAGTAATAGTAGTAGAAGTAGTAGTAGTAGTGGTGGTGATGGTAGTAGTAGTAGTAGTAGTAGTAGTAGTAGTAGTAGTAGTAGTAGTAGTAGTAGTAGTAGTAGTAGTAGTAGTAGTAGTAGTAGTAGTAGTGGTAGTAGTAGTAGTAGACAGATGTAGTAAATAGATAATAGATGGTCATGAGTTAAATTGGGTTTGAGTCAAGAAGTGTCATCACAACACTCGGGGCATTCCCATGTGTGCTTCGTCCTCATCTTCAGCAGCCAGCGCAGAGTTCCAATATTGATGGTACCTGTCAAAATCTGGTTAAATATTCGTCTTGCCTTTTCTCTGAGTTATGAGTTAGATTATCTTCACAGCACTCTGGACACATCCATAGACGCTCAGATTCCCCTCTCAACATATTCATCAGCGTCGCGCGGTTGATAGTGACAGTCCTATGTTGGTTAACAAGACTTTGTATGCGTCCGGTGTGCTTCTCATGCTTGCTTAGCAGTGACGTCGACACGTTGCTTCTAAAATCCCTGGGACAAATATGAAGGTAACTGCACAGACAAAACTAGCGGAGTGCAACTTGCTGATCTGTATGTGGGGGTAGGGATTTGTTACTCAAATATTTATTGTTCCGTTAAAAAACATTTTAATGGGCGAACAGTGCATAAAAAGCTAAAAACTGTCTGCACAAATTAACTGAAACGAACCATTGGAAGTAAAATTATTATAAAGATATTACAAAAGACTACTAGGCCCAACATGAACAAGGTGTTTGATGATATAATCAGTCATCAGCAAACTAAAGATGATGATTATTACTTCATTCTTGGATGTAATGAAAACTCAACGGTATGTAAGTTTAACAGTTTTTTTTTAACCTTATAAATAAATGTCTGTTTTGAGAACTCAGAGAAGTAAATTTGATTTGATTTGATTCAAGAATCGACATCACAGCACTCGGGGCATTCCGGTCATTCCCATAAGCGCTCCGTCCCCATCTTCAGCAGCCAGCGAAGAGTTCCGATACTAATGATGCCAGTAACATTCTGATTAAACGTCCGTCTTGCCTTTCCTTTGAGCCTCGAGCATCTGCCGGATCCTCTCGTCACTCCCTCCTGCATCAATCTCACCAGACTGGTGATCTAGCTACTTCAGTAAAAATTTTTAAATGCCCTCTACACCAATAAATCCAGCACAGTTAGATAGCTGTAAACAATTTCTTTCCAATGGTACCTCATTTAGGCTTGTATGTCATTTCTGAGCTGAAATATGTAGGTTTTTGTGGAGATGAGATGTAAGAAACAGCCGCTAAAACTTGTGACCCAGAAACAAGAAGTTTTTCTCTGCGCAACCTACTGCGCAGTTCTGTATCGGCTTTGTTTACATTGGACTGTCATTGGACAAGATGGCAGGCAATGAGACACAGCCACTGGCTGAGCCAGCGATTGCCTGAAAAATGTCACTGTACATCTACCTAGCCACCGTTCAGAAAGAAATTTTATACACAAATGTAAAATTGGACGGAGAATTCAATTATAACTAGCATTACTAGGACGAGTAACAGTTAAAGCCTAAAGCCAACCTCGAATTTACCGCTATTTTCAATCAAACTGATGACTAACAGAAAAACAGAGGACGTCCGGCTGTCGTAGACATGCGCTGTTAATGGGGTTCCCTCCTGCTGTTTTCAGCTATTTATAGCTGGTCCAAATTCCCACCAATGGCAAAATTTCATGAGAGATTTGGACCCATCCGGAAACCAGCCGAGATTTCCCGAAACAAGTTGCGAACGGTTTCCGGGTAACGGAAATTGCCGAAAAGACCGCCAATTGCCGAACACCGTAGTCGCTAAGTGATCCATCTGCTCCTCCCAACTGTAAACACTCTCCCACAAGGCCCTAACCACGTCTGCCTCATCATGTATCAGCATTCCACCAAGTTGTGCAGAGCCAGTCAGTCTGTCCGCCTGTTCATTTCCCAACACACTGGTGTTCCCTGGTGAAAAAATCCAGACACTCCTCACCTGTGTCTTTCGCAGTGAAGCATGCTTATCCTGATCTTCCTCAGCATGCTTTCTGAGTCAGTTAAATCAAGATGTGTGTGTATGTTGTGTTCTCTAGCCAGCAGAAAGCTGCAGTGACCGCCTCCACCTCCATTCTTAAGCTGGATGTTGTGGTATCATACGCTAGGCTCTCCTGAACCAAACGTCGACCATTAACTTTTGCTAAGAAACCCCAAGCACTTCTTTTACCTCTTGACACTGCTACAGGTCTGTGTTTGTCCGCTCGTGGGAGCTTTCCTACTTGATCAGCTGTCAACTAAGGCTAAGGCCTGGTCTGCTGTGCCATAACATCAAGCTTCCTGGTTGCATTTCCTCATGCTGGGATAAAACTGTTCTGCTCCCCTCCAGAAGCAGTTGGCGCAGTGTGGAAAGTCAGGAGGTTTGCTCCACACTACTCAAAAAATGATGTTAAATAACAGAGAATCAGTTATACAGTAGCTCAGTTCTATCAGAAAAATTAAAAGCTATTTTTCTGTGCGATATTAAATGCTAAGTCATTAGAAGGCACCTGAGACAACAGATCATGTCCTTCAAGACTGTTCCAAATACAATATATCAAGGCAAGAATTTTGGCCCAGAAATACATTGGTGCAAGTCAAACTTTACGGGTCGCTGAGTGAATTACAAAAGACAGTGAAATTCATACTGCAGACAACATTGCAGACATAGATAATCTATTTCAAGCGAACGAAAGAAGAAGAAAAATAAGAGGAAGAAGAGACAAATTCCTGATGGTTACATGCAGGAGTGTATGCAAGCGCACACACCCACACACACGCGCGCGCACACACACACACACACCTACAGATTTAAAAAAAATTGAAATGGTTAGGCAGTTTATATATTCAACATGTGCATGTTTATTTCAGACTGAGCAGATCACGTGTGAATATAAATCACGTGTTTTGTCCTGTCATCCAGACAAGCATCAACATGATGAATCAGCCCGTAAGTGAAAATTGATGTGGCGAGACTAAGAGAAATGTACATAAACACACAAGCAGAGAAACACACAAATAGATATGCATGCAAAAGTGATAAAAATAGTCTAAGCAGAGGGAAAATGCCACCACCCCTTTAAAAGTGAATGCAAAGAAAAAAATGATAACACACACCAACAATTCTCTTGGGTAAGAGGTGGTCCTATAGCAGTTACTGTTGAGAACATATTTGTAGGGTTAAAACAGAATGGACCTAATGCCCCCCAACAGGCATGCTATTACAGAGGACTATGAGTTTGCTGATATTGGATTTTTTCGGCTGAAAGGTGTAGATATCACAGCCTAGCTCTAAACGACAACACAGCATGCCAGCTTTCAGTCCCAGGGGGTATAGCATCAGAGGCCCAAGGGGTAGAAAACAGAGACATAAAATTGGCGCATCTTGCATTCATTGGGCTTCCAGATAGGAACCTAGGAACGTATGATGCGTTCCTTGGACCAAAAGAGTTACTGGAGAACATTTGCTCCAGCCACCATATTATCACAGCTCCTATCCCTTCATTGATGAGATCAAGTATTTAGTCCTATCAAATAACGGTGAACTTTGCAGTGTCCAGTTAATGAATTCTGAATATTAGAAAATCCTACAGCAATCAGAGATTGCAAAGAGTAAGTTGTAAAGGTTGTTGCCTTCGCAATGTTTTAGCCTTCTTTTTCCTCTTAGTGTTCAAATACTGTAAACTTTGGCAGAAAGTCCTGGTTGTGTATCCACTTCTGGACTTTAGTTTGGTTACAGGACTTGAGTTCTCTGAGTACATCAGTTTTACAAATCAGGCTTATTTGTATGCACTGTTGTATGCTCTCAAGGAAAGTTAACAACTTCGAAGGAAATGTTGACCCTATCTACCTTGGCCAGACCACCTGTTTCTAGGACGACAGCGAAGAAAGGTGCAGATAGTTCTTGGCCAGTATAAGCCGTTACCCTGATGCACCACCATGTGTGGTTTAGCACCTCTGCATCCCATTTCTGAGACTAAACATTACCAGTTCTAGATGAAGCCAATTATATAGTAGCTAATCTACCCAGAAGAAATCAACTTTACACTCATGTATGCCAGTATTAGCTACACTGACCTTCATTTTTGTCCCAGGGTATGCTAGTGTAAAAGGCAGTGAGAGAGCAGACACCCTGGCTGGCAGTGCGACTATCAGGAATGAGCCATCAGTGGATAGGAGAGACATAATCAGTGCCACACAAGAGACTAAACGCTGTGAGGATTTCAATTTTGTGGAAAATTATTTTTCACTGAATAGACTGCATACCATATGTGTACCAGTTTGAACAACCAGACAGGAAAACCATGCTTGAGCTACCTGTTGTTACATCAGCCAGAACAGAATGAGAGTTGTTAGCCTAAAAACACTTAGAGACATACTTAGGAGGAGACTGGAGAACTTATGGTCATGTGCGATGAAGATGATCTTTAAATGAAACATGAACAGTGGCTACACTTATCTCTGAGTTGGCTTTGAAGGGGACACGACCACATTTATTGAACCCCTTTTCCTCACCTTTTCAGTGCACCTTGTCATCTACTTCCCCCCCCCCCCCCCCCCCCCCCCCCGCCTAAAACTTACAAAGAAGAACATTTGTAAATTGAAATTTCTGTTCATCTTATAAAAAGATCAAAGGTTTAAACATATATTTCTATAATGGATGTCTCTTTTTCAGTTTTTAATTTTCTTATAATTTCTTCATATATTTTTTGCTCTCAGTAATACACATGAAAGATCTATATGATTTTTTTTTTTAAATGGGATTTTTACACTTGTGTATTCATAATCCTACAGATGAAAAGTTTTCCCGACTTTCTCAAGCTAAGGACACATTACTAGATCCAGAAAAAAGAAAGGAATATGACAAGTGGCGACATAGTGGAATAGCCATACCATTTGAAAGATGGCGGTCATTGTCACATGTAAAAACTGTGAGTCCAGAATTGTACAGATTTGTTTTTCAACCTATTTGCTATTCAAATAAACATTTTACAAAAGGAAATATTTTTCCAGCAAGGCTTGATGCCAGATCTTACTGTCAAAGAGGTAGAAGAGTTTATGAGATTTGCTCAGTGCAGCTGCACCTTCTAGAACATGTCACCTAGTATACATTATGATGTACATCAGTGTTCCCTAAACTTTTCTTAGTCGCAGTGCTTTTTTTCAATTAAAATTTTGCACAGCTCCCTAACCTGAGTAAAAGTATGACTATTCGTATGAAAGAGATTAAAAACTTGAGTATCTTTGAATATTTCGCTGGCTCCCTGTGAAGATCTCACAGCTCCCTGGGGCGCTGCGGCAGACAGTTTGGAAATCACTGATGTACACCATGATGTCAATACAGAGAAGCAGCAGTGAGGCTTGGAGATTACTAAATGTGTATCTCAATTCCCTGTGTATCAGGGTTGCCTGCAGTATGAAGGTTTTCTGCAAAAGATCTCCAACACTGTTTCTAGTCCCATTTGGAGACTGACAAATTTCTCTTCATTAGTCTTTTGATGTTTTATTCCTACTTGCGTCATTATCTATATTCTGCTCATCTGCTTTAAGCTTTTCCCTAGCCTTAGGTTTTTGATGAGTGGCATGTCTTTGAATGTGGCTTATATATTCAGTAGTATGTCTATTTTTTTTTAATTATTATTATTATTTATGCATCACCTCTGTTTTTTATTTACAGCTCTCTAGACCACCATTTCCCAATGTTGGTTCTGTGTTTCTTAGGGGACGCTGGGATGGTGCCTTGAGGCCGTAGTGACCTCGATTAAAATGGGAAGGGGGGAGGGTTGGAGTAAGTAAGTAAATTTTACCCCACCAGAACATCGCACAGAGCAATAAACAACTGGTGACACAAAGTGCCATGATGCAGATGAGGATCACTCGTGGAGAGGTCCCATAAACAGTGTTTAACCGTCAGGCTATATTGCAGCCTCCGGCAAAAGCAAGGGTGGTACTTCAAAATAATGAAAAATTTCAGGAGCTTGGAGCCTAATGCAAAGTTAAGAATATTAACTAAATAATAAGGCATTGGTAGGGGAAGGAGGAAAGAAGTAGAAAAAAGGAAAAGAACATTTTGATTAACTGGGGAGGGAAGATCTGTGCAGAAAATTCTACAAGCAGAAGTTATTCACAATATGTGTTCTTAGAAGACAATTTCTGTATCCATGATTGCCTAGAATTAAATTAGATGACTTATCGGTCAGTAAAACCAAGCAAGGTAGTCGATTGGAACAGTTTAAAAGCACTGAATCATTTCTTGATTTACATAATTAACCTTACTGAATGTTTTCACTAACAAGTATTCACCATTCTGTATGCAGATGACTTAACTTTTCGGACGACCATGGAAAATATCCTCCGCAACTTCCTAATGACTTGAGATTTCAGTAAAGAAAGTAGAGAACTTGACAATGAATTGGCCCCTAACACTAAAGGAAACAATACCCATAGCAAGAGACTAGTCTTTCTTTGCACACACACAAAATATCCATGTTATAAAATCAACTCTAGAAAGAGTCACTCACGTTCATTAAAGTTATTTTCGACACCAAACAAACCATGAAGCTCAACCCAGAAAGGGGAAATAAATGCAAAATCATACACAAATTGTTGCCTTGGGAACAAACCTGAAGGAACATAATTAGCCAGTATAAAAATATCAAGAAAAATCTACACTGAAGCCATTTTTTCAGTTTTCATCATCAGTAGCTCACTCAGCTCGCACAGCCAGCAACTCACCTACCATTATTAATAGACCGCATAGACTTTTGATTAGCCAATTGTCACTTATCTACAGGAATGCCGCTATCCAAACTAGCCGCCAAGCGATAAGCACCAGGCAAGCAGAAGAAAGCTGCGATAGAGAAACCAGACTATTACCATGTGCCTGAAGCAGCCGGTAGCTCAGAGACAACTGAAGAATCTTACAAGCCTGTTTCAACAAAGCTATACCAGAAACAACCATAGCCTGTCCAAATTGACATGCCTGCATCTCACAACAGCATTGCTTACCGAGCGCACATATTAAGCCAAGCTATTCCGCTGACCCGGAAGTGAGACACACAGTGAGCTGCGTAGACATACCTGATGCAGTGCCAGCATGGAAGTGAGTCACGCACTGGGCCACACAGACATACCTGAAACAGTGCCAAGCCAGTCCGCCAACCCAGAATGAGACAAATACCGGGCTGCGCAGACATACCTAATGCAGTGCTAAGCCAGTCTACCAACCCGGAATTGAGACGCACACCAGGCTGCTCAGACATACCAGATGCTGTGCCAAGCCAATCCGCCTACCTGGCACACACCGGGCCGCTCAGACATACCTGATGCAGTATCAATGCTGTCCACCGACCCAGACGTGAGACACACCGGTCTGTGCAGACATACATGATGCATTGAGACAACAAATTGTACCTGAACCTCTGTCATCCTACACCAAAGTCATGCTCCGAAAGACCAGCGTAGGGAAGCCAGATTAAAAGCACTCACTGCAGTCATGATTATCTCCCTCCTGAAGAACATTTTAGGATAGCATCACCCGAAGACGAAAACCGTAGACAGTGTAATTTCTACTATTTAACAAACCACAAAGACCAGACAACTGATCAGCGACATCGAAAAGAATAATAAAGCGGAGCTACAACTCCCTCATGGGATAACAGTGACAGCCAGCTTGATCCAGAGCACCAAGAAATTAGTAGTAAAGAGAATCACAGCACAGTTCTCAATCCAGGAGATAACTGAGCAGCTCCAGCAAGAAAATCCAAGAACAAAAATTACCAAAGCCAAGAAACTGACCTCCAGAATCAAAACGTCAACTGTGGTGGCAGTGACTAGTGAAGAAAAACTCAGACATTCAACAAAAGATGATATAAAACAGAAGGGTACATCCACAAAGTGCTGCAGTGCTCCAGGTATCAGAAGGCCTTCCATACAAGATCAGACTGCCACAGCAAATCTGAAGTATGCCATTACTGCTCGGAGACCCACTCATTCAAGAACTGCCCGGTGGCCAAAACGACTTTAAAAAACCAAATCCTAGCAGAAAGTGCACCAATTGTTCAGGCGCACATGGAGCAAGATATGTTGGCTGCCCGTACATGCAGAAATGTATGAGCACCTTCAAGCTGGCCATCTGCCACAAACCAACCAACCAGAGCGAAGCACGAAGGAATGAGGCAGCCAATGAATACACAGCCCAGGGGAAGTCTCATATACAGCAACAGGTTGACACTTGAAAGATATTATTTCAGCTCTCTGAGCAGCTCAGGCGGAGGAAGAAGTGTGCAGATAGGAAGAACAAGAAGAGAGAAGGAAAGCTTTGGAAGAGCGCAAAGAAGCACATGAAAGCAGCTACAGAGAAATCGCCCTACTAGTACAGCAGAAAGCAGAAGCAGCAATAATAGCAGAAATAAAACACTTCCATAATTCACATAGGACTAATATTTTAGTAATACTGAACTTACTCATTTCAGTCTATGCACTGGGGATTCTGTAAGGAACAAGCAGCTATTGACCATCCAGAGGCAGGTGATCAGCAGCGACGAGCAGTTTCACCATCACGAATCAGCACACAGCAAGACAATAATTTTCAAGAACTCAAGGAAAAACTCAAATTCACTCCAAGAGGTAATATTTTTATTGTTATTATTATCATTTCTTTCAAGTTCATTTTTTTTTCAGGTTTACCAACGTTTTTGAAGTTTAACCTTAAATAAGTAAAAGTCACACTGTAATACAGAAATACAGCCTTTTTCCAAGTGTCATTTGCAAATTTATAAAATAATATCTTTTAGAGGACGTACAAAATTATCAGCTTAAACATTAACAACCTATCTATGCTTTGGCAAATCTTATTTTGAATTCCTAATTTAGTTCTTAGATAGTTATCATTGTCATAATCCCACAACACAATGCATCATTGTTCGTCAGTTGCTGTGACTGTCTGATCAGCTCCCTCTACTTCTGTTGGTCAGATGCAATTGACTTGATATTTGCATGTGGTCTTGAGGTATGGGGTCCGCCTCGAGTGCTGGAGGTCCCTGATTAAAGCCCTGGTGAAGGCTGGGATTTTTTCATGTGGACTTCTAGTAATTTCCCCTGGACTCTGGGGAGTAGTCGGACACCAGTGTGTATTGTTGCACACATAAAAAATCCCTTGGCAGAAGGAAATCGAAAAAGAGTTCAGCCAAATTCTGTATCCAGATCTTTCCTGGTCTGCTTCTCCCCTTTCTCTCTACAGAGCCCTGAGGTATACTTTTGGAGAGAACCGTAGATCTTGTTACAACTCCATAACATTGCATTCTCCATCTTTTCAATTATGTTGTAAGAGGTTCATAGTTGCCAGTTTGTTGAGTGATGATATGGTGCATTTCATAATTTGTGATGTGGTATCTGTATGTCATGTTCCACACTTTGTCAAGTTTGAAACAGACTATAGTTAGTCAAGATTATTATTTTAGCTGAAACAGACAATACACCAAATTCCACTGTCACCTCTTGAGGGCCTCAAGAGGGCATTTAAACCGGATAGGATTTGCCCTCCCCCAACCCCTTCCCCCACTGGACATAGCAACACAGTGAGGAGAAAGAAATTGTTTGGACAGTACAAGTTTGACTCCACCTCTATGTTCCTGCTATAGAGCTTAATCGACTCTGGGACAGTTGTCTTTTCTATACATGGTTATGTGTTGTGATGACAAAAGTGAAAAATAAAGGCTGGATCATAATAGGAACTTTGTCTACAATATATCTCTGAGTCGTCCTAGCTATCCTGGGAACGTGAATAGTCCGTGATTGCTGTCCTGTGCTGCTCATGTACTAAGACACCACCCCTGGCAGTGACCTCTGACCTGTGAGTCAGTATCCTAAATACCTCCACCACTGTGGAATCTCAATGCTTTAGAACATTTCTGGTCCCATATTTAACTGTTCACCCCAAGGACCCTAATTTAGACCTCCTGACATTGTATGATATAGCTAGGATCTTTATAAAAGATCTTATAATCTGTGCTTATCGAATAGTTCAAAGCAGTATAATATTTTTGAAGCTACATTGACCTATCCAGCAAACCTGGTACAATTCACATATTAATTGTCAATTTTCTCATAATATTATTGTATTCTCCATGTATACTCTGTGTGTACTTTATATGTTCTATTTTATTTTTAACTTCCTTTTTTTTTTTGGGTGTAAATCAGAAACATCTACTGGAACTAGTAACAGAAGTCCAAAGATGGGATGGGAGAAGGACACATCCAATCCGTTACTTCACAAGTTTCGTAATTATGAGATATAAAGGTAACTCAGCTCTCGGCTGTTGAAACTCCATATCTGTAAATGCTAACAGTAAAAGAAACTATAAAACACATAAATCAAACTGAGCATATTTGATAAGGTAGGCTGTAATTTTTTTTTTCTTGTTTGGCCACTAGATATGTGGTCTGTTGCTGTTTGGGCATGTTGACTGTAGTTTTGCCACTTGATAGGGTGTCTGTTGCAGTTTGGGCATGGTTGACTGTAGTTTTGCCACTAGACATTTAGTCTATTGATGTTTGGGCATGGTTGACAGTAGTTTTGCCACTAGACATTTAGTCTTGTGGCATGTGGGCATGGTTGACAGTAGTTTTGTCACTAGACATGACGTCTGTTGATGTGTGGGAATGGTTGACAGTAGTTTTAACACTAGATGTGTAGTTTTTTGCTGTGTGGGCACGATTGAAAAAGTAGTGTCACCACTAGACATGTAATCTGTTGATGCACAGGCATGGGTGACAGTAGTTTTAAAAAGGTTAAAGGTTAAAGTCGAGAGGATCGACTTCATTGCACCAAGTTTTACCCCATATGGCTCGGTTTCTCTCCCCAGAGATCTCTGTAAAAATTGCACTCGTGAACTGAACAACGCAGCTGTGAAACGAACCTGCAACCTTCAAAGGCAAACTGCTTAATCACTTCACCACGGAGACCCCCTGACAGTAATTTTGCCACTAGATATGTAGTTTGTTGATATATAGGCATGGTTGACAGTAAGTTTTGTCACTAGATAAGTAGTCTGTTGATATGTGGGGTACTTGGTTGACAGTAGTTTTGCCACTAAATTTGTAGTCTGTTGATGTTTGGGCATGGTTGGCAGTAGTTTTGCCACTAGATATGTAGTCTGTTGATATGTGGGCATGGTTGAAGAAAGCAGTTTTTCCACTAAATAAGTAGTCTGTTGATGCATAAACATAGTTGACAAAGTATTTTACCACTAGATAATCTAAATTGATGGGGCACTATGGAATCCCACAGAAAATTATTAACTTAGTTGAGGCAACATATAAAGACATGAAATGTTGAGTTCTTCGTGAAGGAAAGCCAACAGATACATTTGAAATAAAAACAAGTGTGCGACAGGGATGTCTTTTATAGCCTCTCCTATTTTTACTGGCTATAGACTGGATTGTGAAGACAGTAACTGCTAACACCAAGAATGGAATTCAGTGAACCCCTACAAAACAGCTTGATGATCTGGACTTTGCTGATGATATTTCTCTTCTGTCCCATTCACAGAATCAGATGCAAGATAAATTAAATATACTTAATGCGAGATCACAGCAGCTCGGTCTGAAAATCCATAAAGGAAAGACAATAATATTTCTTTTAATTTTGTTTGACCTCCACAATATCCTTATTGCTATGAAAGCTCCTCTTGCCTTTTGTATTCTTAGTTTAATATCTCTATCAGTTCTCCCATCTTTATCTACATTACTGTCCAAACATGTGTACAACTCCACGTCTTGGAGTGGGGTGCCATTAAGAGAAACCACATTACTATTTGCCTGATTTATTCTCATTTTCTAACTTACAATTTTTAATTCTAATGTCAAATCAGTACTTTTGTATGGGGCGGAAACATGGAGAACAACTAAGGCAATTACTAATAAACTACAGCAATTCTTTAACTGGTGCCTGCGCAGAATAGAGGGAATTAAATGGTATGATAGAATAACTAATTTAAAGCTTTGGGAGAGAACTAAGCAATCTCCAGTAAACCAAGAGGTGAGAAAAAGACGCTGGCGTTGGATAGGACACACATTGAGAAAACCGGAGAACAGCATAACTAGAGTGTCTTTGCATTGGAACCCACAGGGGCAAAGAAATAAAGGAAGGCCACCAAAAAAAACATAGAGAAGGGAGCTGGAGAATGAAGTTAGAAAGATGGGGAGAACTGCATGCGATAGCAAAGGATATAACGACTTGGCGTGAGTTGGTTGAGGGCCTATGCTCCATTAGGGGTTAGAAAGGCAGAAAAAGAAGAACGGCACTGCCTGGGCAAAATTGTGAGTTTGAAAATCTACCCAAAGTATTTCAGTATCCTTGCCGGTGCTAGGGATTTTGTGCACTGCGCTGAGATAATTCAGACTCAGGCGTGAGTTAGCAGTAGAAAGGAGAACTTGTGGGTTACTGCCCTTGTGCCATGATGTGGATCCGTTGTTTAAACCTAAACCTAGCCTGGCTCTCTAGCGTAGTTGGTTAAACCTGACATCGCGGTGACCAGGTGATCAACTCCTTGTGATCCGGGTTCACTACCGGGGGTAGACAGAAAAGCCACTTTTCTCCCAGATTCACAGTACCTATCATGGAATCAAGGCCGAAGAGTTGCGATATCCATAGTAGCAAGCCAAAAGGTTAAGACCTCATGGTTTCTGGATATTTTTTTTTTAAACTAAACCTGAACCTGTGGTTCCCTTGTGTTTTTTAAATGCCTAAAACATTTTTCGCTAGTGATCAGTAGGCATAGATGCTAGACTTATATTTTTATATACCAGTCTGCAGTCTGTGGGTGATTTGGTCAACATCAACCCGACCACCTTTACTTCCCAAGACATTACCTGGTATATTATGGGTTGACAAAGTAGCCAAAGTTAGTTTTTAAAAATACAATTAAACTGTGTGGATTTGAAACCAAGATCTTCGGGCTGGCAGGCAAGCATCTAGCTATTATGCTACAAAGGCTCTGTGATGCGTACTAAAGGCAGTTAATTCAAAATTTTACTTTTATATTTTTTTGGTTACATTCCCCTGAAATTTAAATTGTCTGTTTCGTATTCAAGCTGTAATTATTTACATTCCATTCGAGTTGTTTCAGTGCTGGCGAGTTAATTCTTTCAGTTTAAAAAAAAAAAGAAAGTCAGGAGATGTGAACCAGCGTCACTGCACACGGTTATAAACCATAAGTGCTCTGCCACTAGTACGGACAGCTAATAAGCAACTGTCAGCCTGTGTCGCCGTCCGCACGAAATTCCATAGCTGCAGAGACGTCTCTCCATTTACCCCAGAGTGTTAACTCTGGTACCCATTTCCTAGAGGCTGCTTGAACCCCAGGAACCGTCCAGTTCAAACACCGGCTATGGGCTGTAACGAGTCACAGCTGGATTTGAAAGTGAGTCTCCTATCAGCTGCGCTAACGCGGCCCCACATATTCTTTCAGTCTTAGGTATTAGTTCTTCAACATCTTCCAGCCCATATTGTTTGTACTTCATAAGATCTTTGAACATCAGTGAGTTAAAACTATACAACTATGAGACAGTAGAAGTTAAAGTAATAATTATCATAGCATTAGTAACAATAACAGATCAATGTAGCCAAAGAATGTGACTCAGAAAATTAAGCATGTATAGTGTCATCAGTAATTGTATAGTTGCCTGCATGTCATGTTTGATTATTCATTCTGTTTTTCTATTCCATTCTAGCCTGTGCAGTTACTCCAATATAATGGATGGAATCCAGTCCAGCCCCTATAGCTTCTGTCATCAACATTTGCTTTGGGGTTTCTCTTAGGTGTCCTCATTTTCTAAATCCTTTAATTTCCCATTTCACTGCCTGCTTGGTAATTCTTTGTTTGTTTATTCTCAGAGTGTCTTCAGTATAGTGCCATCTTCTCTGTTTTATAACTGTTGATGCTAGTAGTTCTCTTATTTATTCCCCCCTCTTGAATTCGTCTCACTTTATGTTCATAATTTTCCTCAGGCTTTTGTTTTAAAATCCATTAAACTTTCATCCCGTATTTAGCAGTGCTCTAGCTTTCGCTGGCGTATGCTAAAAATGATTTATGTTTCATTATATTCCTTCTTTAATCTAAATAATGAAGACACATACATATTGCACAACACATTGCCAGGCATCTGTTGCTGTATCTCATGCTCTCTGTCTGTCTGTCTGTCTGTCTGTCTGTCTGTCTGTCTGTCTGTCTGTCTGTCTGTCTGTCTGTCTGTCTGTCTGTCTCTCTCTCTCTCTCTCTCTCTCTCTCTCTCTCTCTCTCTCTCTCTCTCTCTCTCTGTGTGTGTGCATGAGTTTGTGTGTGTGTCTCTGTGTTTCTTTATGTGTGTGTGTGTACGCGTACGTGCATGAGTGAAAGAAAGAAAGAGAAAGAGAGAGTAAAAGTAAGTAATTAAGTAAGTAAGTAACTAAGAAAAAATAAGCCATGTGGTCTAAACACTGATGCAGTAAAATGCATCCTCTGAACTTAAACATTCTAAGTCACGATATATGTTAGGATGGTCAGTTCTCTTTTTCAACGCCGTCTCTCCCAGACAAATTCCGGAAAATATTAACACGTTTGTTTGACAACGTGTCAACCCCAGAGTCTTTCTATATAAAAAGCCTGTCTCTTTTCAGGGATTAAACCTGGACCAGTATCTCAACATGGAAATACACTAGCCACTATACCAGCACGGTTCCATATAAGTTATACTACGTCTGTGATTTTTCTTCTTCTGCCTCCTAACCCCTAGTGGAGCATAGGCACTCAACCAACTCATGCCAAGTCATTTTATCTTTTGCTATGGCATGCAGCTCTCACTGTGTCCTCCTCATCTTTTTAACTACACATATGTGTGTGTGTGCACGTATACGTGCGCGAGCATGTGTGAGTGAAGAGTGTGTGAGGGATGTGGATGTGCATGCATTTTACCATCTATGCCTTTGTGTGTTTTCTTAGTTATTCATATTATGCATATTATTTTATGAACATATCATGTTGTATTTATAAAACACAATTGCTGTGGGAAAGATGGGTGTTTGAAAGGGCCAAATGTAAGACAGACCTACATGCCAAATTTTCTTACCCTTTGAAAATAAAGTTTGTTACTACAGAATTTATATCACAATGTAACTACTTATATCAGTCATTCCCATGTGGGATGCAATTTTTCGATATTTGAAGCCCCACACTGGTTTCTGCCGGGGGCCCTGAATATAGCCGGGGCATAGATAGGGCCTAGCCACAGATTTGGCTTAACGGCTGGGACCTCTCCA